GAGGCTGAGGCAGAAGGATTGCTCTCAGTTGAATGTCAGCCTGGGCTACATGGTGAGTACAAAGTCAGCCAAGACTAATCCTGTGCTCAGCACCTAAAAGCATTTGCTGCTCTTCAAGGGAGTCCAAGTTCAATTCCCAGAACCTACATCAGGTGTTTCACAAATGCCTGTAACTCCAGCTCCAATGAATCCAACTCCCACTTCTGGCTCTGTGAGAGCTGCACATGCACACACAAGCTCACACTCGTGCATACTCGCGCACATACACATGTAAGTACAAAATAAAGCCAGTGAGATGGCCCAGCAGGTGAAGGCATTCGCCACCAAGCCTGGTGACCCAAGTTCAATCCCTGGGACCCATATGAGGGAAAGAGAGAAAGTGATTCATACAATTTGTACATACACACAAAATAAATCTAAACAAACAAAAAATTCCTACCTTAACAAAACAAATTGAGAACAGAGAGAAAGAGAAGGAGAGAGGGAGGAAAGGAGAAAGGGAGGGAGACCAGTTAAGACATTCACAAATTAATAAAAGGTGGAAGACTTTTGTGGAAATGGTAGTGGTGGTGGTAGTAGGATGGGGATATAGGAAATCATGATGTTGTAGCTATGTTACACAGAGAAACCCTATCTCAAAAAAAAAGAAAAAAAAGACAAAAAAAAAAAAAAAACGACAACACACACACACAAAAACAAACAAACAAACAAAAAACCCTATGTGTATTATTCTTAACTAAGTATGCCTGATTGTGGGCAGATGCCTGCAGAGTTCAGATGAGGGCATCAGATTCCTGGGAGCTGAAGTTACTGACAGTTGTGAACAGCTATATGAGTGCTGGGAACTGAACTTGGGTCCTCTGCAAAACCAGTAGGTTCTCTTAACTGCTGAGCTGTCTCTCCTATCCTCCCCCCCCCCCCCCCCCCCTGCCCCCATAAAACATTTTGTGCTCTCCTGTATATGCTCTTCTGTGGCTTTACTTTTTGTTGTATTTGTGTGTAAGATGTGTATGCATGAAGGAGCATGTATGTCACGCATGTATGTGAAGGTCAGAGGCTAACTTTAGGGAGTCAGTTCTTCCACCATGCAGGTCTGGGGGATCAGACTCAGCTTGTCAGACTCAGCAGCACCCACTTT